ACTGGCAGGATTCTAATCCTGTACTCACCCTGGATGGTGAGCAGATAGACGTAGTTGAGAAGTTCGTGTATCTGGGTAGCTGCATAAGTGCTGGTGGGGGTGTGAGTGATGAGATCAATGCACGAATAGTGAAAGCCAGAGCGGCTTATGCCAATCTGGGCCACCTTTGGCGCCTTCGTGATGTTAGTCTGGCTGTAAAAGGTCGGATCTACAACGCGTCGGTGAGAGCAGTTTTGCTCTATGCTTGTGAAACCTGGCCTCTCCGAGTTGAGGACGTTAGACGACTCTCTGTGTTCGATCATCGCTGTCTCCGAAGGATTGCTGACATTCAGTGGCAACACCATGTCAGTAATGCAGAGGTTCGGCATCGTGTGTTCGGGCACAGAGATGATAACTCAATTGGTGTCACCATCTTGAAACACCGACTTCGGTGGCTTGGACATGTTCTCCGAATGTCGTCCCAGAGAATTCCACGTCGTGCATTATTTGCCGACTCTGGGACTGGTTGGAAGAAGCGGAGAGGTGGTCAGTGCATGACATGGTGTCGTGGCATGAAAGAAAGCTGCAAAGGACTGGCTTGTGTTGGTCCTTCACGACTCCCTGGTTGGGGTCCGAGAGATGGTGCTACACAGTGGCTAGAGACGTTATCAGATATGGCTCAGAATAGAAGCCAGTGGCGATCCTGCTGTAACCTTCTTTTACTTTCTTCATAAAAAGTGGTTGTGTCTCCCTTACCTGAAAGATTTCTTCTGATTGTACCTCTTCGTCATTACTCTCTTTTTCTTTTGCGTTCCTTAGTTTTTTTTCTCTTTCTACTTCTCTTCGAATTCCCATTGTTTTGTGTGGCGCATATATATTGGCGCTCTCTTGTACCAATATTTATGTGTTCAAATAATAAATAATAATAATTGTGATACACGAGTATCGATCGATAAAAGTATTGATGTGTATCAGTTTAAATTTCTACAGGGAGAGAATGTTAACGAAGAAAACTTGGGTAAATGTAGAACCGGAACATTTGGAATTGAGACTTCCATATAGTGTGTCTATTCGCTCCAATGCAACTGCTTTGTCACATACTAACTGAACTTTAGAACTATCGATTAATGTTGTTTTGTGGATGCTTGAACGTCTTTGCAGGAGTCTCTCTAACAATCTTTAAAATTTACTAGACAGTGATTAGTTGGTTACTGATCATCGAAGAAAGATACCCCACATTTTCATCGTGGAGACTAAATTTGACAGTTATAAAACAAAGTGTTCATTAAATAGAATCTATCTTAAAGTTACACTCTCAGTTTTTGCTTGATATCAGTTCACGTTTATATAGATAAAGAAGCATATAATTCAAATGGTTTTCTAAAAAACAATTTTATAGATGCTAAGTAAGCGGTTGATTGAAAATGTCCTACGTTGCCAATATCGAAGTAGTCTGCCTACAAGAGGAATGCAGTGCTATTCCGGAGAACCTGGTTCATGTTCATCAACTGGTGCTCTTCACTGTAGACCTTTAACAACTCCTCTGGGATTGATCAAAATTACTTGTGTTGTAATATCCTCAATTTTCGCTGGTGCATGGATAAGTAGAAATGGAGCAGAGTTTCTTGAGGAAAATGAAATTTTTGTTCCAGAAGATGATTAGAAACCAATATATGTTAATAGTCTATTCTGTGATTAGTAGTTTATTCGACTAGATTGTACAAATCTTACCTATTATTATTTGCTTTATCTTTCAGGCTTGTTTCTGTTGTTTATTGTTAACAGTAAATTACGCCGGTATATGATGACCATACCATAACGCGTACATTTAAACTGTTTATTAGTATGTTAAATGATGAGAAAATATAATGTAATTCATTGACTAAGTACTTTTTCTCTTTTTTTTGTCCCTAAGCTACACTTTTTGAGTGAAGCTATTGATTCTGTTCATTTCGTGGAAGCAAATTAAACGTGGTAAGGGGTTAGTATCCTTAAGAAAACAGTTAGAAGTCAAATGTTTTAACTACTAAATTAGCACTACATAGTTTGGTGAATGTAGTTCTTTTATTATTGAAGATACTTTTTCAGGATATGGCGGTTTCTAATTTAATGGCTATTAGGTGAAATAGGTGGTTAGTAAGATCGAACTATCAGTCTGGAAAAGTAATTTAACTCGATTAATTAGTTAACATCGTTGACTGTGTGGCTTAGTTAAGATATTATTCAGTATCTATGAATACTTTACTTCATGTATTTTATCTTCCTATATCAGTTTACTTACTAGATCTCTTAAACATATAAGAAATTGTCAATCTAACTGGATTATTCTTAGCTCACTCTGACTAACCTTATTTTGTTAGTTAATTATTGCGAAAGACCGATTTTTCAGTTACTATTTTTGATAGAAAAAATTGAATGTAATGAAAAAAACTTGATAAACTATGAATGCTAGCTAGTGAAATATTTGGGTATCATGTAAAAAGCTCAGAAATCACCATTCAAACACCCTTAAACGCCCTGGTACAGTCGAGAGTGGAGATAGTCTGCTCTCTCTCAAAATGTTCTAACATGCATACAACCCACTGTCACGAAAGTCCTTCTTGCAGCATTACTATTGTTTACGAAATTGAGGACGAAAAATAAATACCCGGTGATTTAATCAGGTTGGTGGATACGGAGAGTCCATCTAGGGCAGTTAGAGAACCCTGATTCCAAACCACTGGTGCACATGGGCTTCAGGATCGTGAGGGAACAAATGGCGTATGAACCCCATTGTTGGTCACCGCTCACCATGGGACCGCATCTCCAAAGGTTGCTCCATTGCCATGTGAGGTCAAAGGCTCAGAGAGTGACCTCTTGAGAAAACCGCCTGCTTCGGTTTAGGCGCACGGGCATTATTTAGCCCCGCATGCAGATAAGATGATGAAATGTGAGCACATAAATTTGGTGCTTCCTTGTTCTAATATTTATGCATTTAAATAATATTAACAACTCAAACAACAAATATTCTATATGTTATCCTGGAATTCTCTAGAACACTGCTCATCGTTAACAGTCCATTAAAATGCAAGCTTTTTCTTAATGTGTATTTTGCGGTTACGCCACCAAGCTCTTATTTAGATCCTTAAGAGAAAACAAACCCATACATATAATTATTCGACTCACTGAAGTTAGTTCAAGCTAGGTAAGATTCCATGTTGTGTTTTCGTTTCAGCCAATTCAATTAGTTGAAAACAGTAGGGCAAATAATCCAACTATCTATCCAAGAAACTGTTTGTTTTACCTCGAATAGTTGAGAACTGGGACTTAAGCAACTGTTTTCTATTCGTTACATCCCAAGTTAGAATACTAACTCAGTTATTTGGGCAAATGGTTCGTGTCGTCAAGCATGATTACTACTCGGACGCAGTTGCTAGCACTCATCTATTATCTTACTAATAGACTTAAATGCGGGTTCCCTAGTTGTCTTGTATTCGTCAACCAGAGAACAAAATGTTTCTGTTCCTTTAGTGAAAGTTACACAAAAACAATGGAAAAACTCGGTCGAGATAAATAACATGATATGAAGGCTGGACTTTGCTGTATGTTGGCTAGGACGCTAGTTAAAGAGAAACAGATTTCGAAAGAAAGTAGTGTTATTGACTATGGCGGGGCGTACTAACAACTCCATCGTGGAGAATCCTTGAGGGTGATTCCTCGTGGCTAAAAGCGGGGTACAAGAAACATCGATTTTAAGTGAATCTTCCACAGACTACAGATTTTCAAAACCGCTGGATAAGTTTTGGTAGTATGGAGTTTTGCCACTAATCATCTGTCGAAAGGTAGGTCGGAACCCGGCTGATCATCAGTCATTATTGTTGCAAAGCCAAAAAGGAATTCACTTTCTGCATTATTTCATTCTCCTACTTATTCAGTAGTCCGGCGATAGTCGAGATGGCAGAATATTAGAGATAGTTACACTATTATTAAGACAGTTTATTTATGTAAACACATAAACATTGGTACAAGGAGGCACCAAGTAGATATGCGTCACATAAATCATTCGATTTGTGTGAGTTGGACTTCCCTCGTAGAGGCTGTATACGCGTGGCCGTGTGAGAGCATTCCGAGACGGAGGGCGGACCCACCCCACTCTCGGCCATAGCAGGGCATTTGGGGGCTAAACAGTTTAAGGCTGTTAGGTGTATCAGACACCACACCCGAGTATGACCTAATACAGTTCACTCTATTTATTGATCTCTTCATTGTAAATAAACGAAATCTACTTACACTGGTGTATATTTCAATACTGTCTGTTCCAGTAATTATAGACTTTTGAAAGCACATATATTAGATCAGCTCATAATAGATCTGAACCTGTCTTTTTGATATCTTGCTTAAACTAGAATATGTCATTTATTACTTTAAATATTTAAGCATCATCTACATCGCAAAAATTATTATTTATTTGAACACAAATATTGATACAAGGAGGCACCAAATAGATATGCGCCACATAAGTCACTTGATTTGTGTGACGACTGGGATACTACTCGGGTGCCCAAACTGAAACAAGTGGTTTTCTTAGGGGGCCACACCCCGAGCCTTCGACCTAAAGATCTGATCCACAAAGTAGTGAAGCAACGTCCGGAGATACAGTTTTATGGTAACTGGTGACCAACAATAGGTTCATACGCGATTTGTTTCATCAGGATCCTGGAGTCCATGTGTACCATTGGTTTGGAATCAGGGTTTTCCAACTCTCCTAAATGGATACTTTACAAAGTTAACTTTACTCTAATGAATAGATCATTGCATAATAAACACTGGACATAATTCATGTGAAAGTTTTCTAAGTTATTGTAAGAAATACTCTATCAATAGCCATTTTATTTTGAGAAAATTTAATTAACAATAAGAATGAATGAGTTAGAATAAAACTTAAAAAGGTGATAAAATAGGAATAATGGAATGTGTAATACACTGAACTGCACATATATGATGAAAAAAATGACTAGAGATTCTTTCAATGATATACAATATCAAGTGTAAACTGGGTCAATTTTCCATGCCCCTAATGAATATCGCAAACGAATCATAAGCAAATCTTTTGCCATTTGAATCCATGAGAAAATTGGGACCAGTTTCGAACCTGTTAGTAAGAAAAAAAAACATGAACGGCAAACACTATGTAAACAGTTTATGAATCACATAAATGATTCATTTAAAAACTTAAATGAATATTCTAATTAATTATATGTAACACTGGTCATGAAAATAGAACTTTTGTTTCTCGAGTCGCAAAGGGTGAGTCAGTCAGCTACAACGTAGAACTTCGTACGTACCTGCATTAGTTCGAGTTGTCATACTACATTAGCATACAGATACAATTGTTGATTCAAATCCCATAGTGATAGAGGTAGTAAAAGTATAAGCAGTAATCGGAAACATTAGGCTGTGAAGACGTTATTCAAGGAGTATAATCTAGTGAAATAAATTTGAAAACAGAGAAAAAGGGAAATGAAGAATTCAGAAGAACACAAAGAGTGGGTGCATCTGCGCCATTGCAAACGATTTTGAGCCATGTCATCCAAGGTCTCTAACCATGACAGGGAAGTCCTACTCACTGCCTTCTACCAGGGGCGTTTTTTAAGAAATTGAGAGGACGAAAAGCAAATTTCCGGCGTTCTAAACGGATTGGTGGACACGAAGAGTGCATCTAGGAGAGTTAAAGAACCCTGGTGCACATGGGCTCCAGGATCGTGAGGGAACAAATAGCGTATGAACCTATTGTTCGTCATTGGCTACCATGGGATTGCATCTCCTTACGATGCTCCACTGCCTTGTGGATCAGACCTTCAGGTCGAAGGCTCGGATGTGGCCCCCTAAGAAAACCACCTGCTTAGGTTTGGGCACCCAGGCAGTATCACAGCCCTCACACAAATCAAATGAGATTTGTGCGGCGCATATGTATCTGGTGCTCCCTTGTACCAGTACTTATATGTTCAAATAAATAAATAATAGAAATACGTAGAAAAACATATACTTTTCCTTTCGGAATTAACTGAACTGGAGAAAATACAGTAAATGAAACAAAACTGTACATTACAGTACAAATATTACCTGGAATTTCCTGCCAATGCACAGGTATTTCGACAATATTCATATCGAAATGCCGAGCTAAATATAACAAGTCTACATCAAAAGCCCAGCGATCAACATGCAAATTATGAAATAACAAACGAGCAGCAGGTCGACTAAACAATTTAAATCCACATTGTGTATCACGAACTCCACGAACACACACAAGCCAAACAAATAGCTTAAATCCATACATGAGCAGATTTCTTAATGGATGACGTTTAGCGAGTGCCTGTTCTTCTAAATGTGCTCTAGAACCACATATCACCGCCATGCCACCATTCTAATGCAATGAAGCAATAAAATAAAAGTGAACATTGTTGAGGATATAATAATCACTGTTTGGGTTATTCGGTAGGAAATGCATCGATGGTCGATAAGCCAGATCATAATAAGTTATCTACAAATTAATGTTCACACCTAATCATATAATCTATCTATCGTGTTGCACACCACGAATGGATGCACCTCCACCATTGCAAACTGTTCTGAGCCACGTCACTCAAAGTTTTTAACAATTGGTTAGAATAATCACGCAGGCCATAATCAGGTAGTCTACATCTATTAACATGGCTCAGACCAACAGTCAGTGTCTACATAGACCAATGCTGAATCTTAGTTTGCCCCCCAAAAAACCTTCTTGCAACTTACTCCTAAATTGGTGATGGTGGTTAGGCTTAAGTAATATGCATTAATCGCCTCAGTTAATGAAGATCTACTTCATTAGTCGATATATTTCAAACAGCTAACTACATGATTTTACAAGTTTTACAAATGTACTTTATTCTAAATCCATTGATCACGTTAGGATACTTTGAGATTCATTGATTTACAATCACAGAAATTGAGCTAAATTCATTTTGGAAGCATTGAAATCATGCAAGGGAATTCTATTTTTAAGATTGTTTGCCAAATCCAGATGACTAATTGTGGTTTTTCAGACGGTTGTTGTGAAAAGCAGCTACGTAAAACAAACCGTCAGTATCGTCTTTTCCAAAGGAGAGCGATTCGGAACTCGGCAATCGTATGATCATTACCGAATACATATACGACACACAAGTCACTTTATTTATGTGTGTGGGTTATGATACTGCACGGGTGAATAAACCGAAGCAGGTTACCGTATAACTTGAGGTATTTGCATTTAAGCGCATAACATTGTAATGTTATGTTTCACCTGATACTGCTTAGATAGTCCTTTCATTTTTATTCTATAGTAGTTTTGTCGAAATTCAGTGTTACGCAGAGTTCACCTCTACATATTGTGTCAACTACATTTCTATGTTATGGCATTATTTTCACGATTGTTTGGCTGGAAACTAAATAGTTTTAGGTCGGACGTTGTCACATTCCGTAAATAGAGATAATAACTATGCATTGAGGTACATATAAAGAAAAGAATGCTAAAATCATTATTGTTCAACATTACTCTAGGGTAATAATAATTTTATTATTCCCGACAATAAGATTGTTCACTATCTCATAGTATTTCATCATTGAGAGCTGAATCTTCTTTCTGGCTCAGTGAAATGTAACTGAAACCTTTACCTACTAAGCATGGTAAGTAATCAAAAAATATTGAAAGTAAACAATATTAAACTTGTCTGAATTACCCATCTATTAGCTACAGATGATGCTAAAGCTTCCTCCAGTTTTTCAATATCGGAAAACTGAGTTGCACCATCTGCATCTACGAACAGAAGTATACGACCACGTGCAGAAAGCATTCCCTAGAAAGGAAAAGTCCAATTAAATTAATAACGGCATATACACATAGTAGCTGCTGTAAAATAACTGAAGCTTTAGCTCCTCAAGACTAAACAAGGCGTTGACCAGTATTGATATTGGCTTTGTTGTACCAACAAAGTAACTCATCATAGTATTTTAGTATCTTTTTGTCTCATCCCCATTTCATTTTGTTGCAGTGTGACAATTAGAAGCAAAAAACTCTGTATGGGGTTAAGTACATGTTTATAATTACATTCAGTGTCGGTTGCGTATGATGAAATCCCGACCGAAGCTGCTACCTTGACGCGGTGGTCGGGCTTGCCTATCGTGATGACCCAACCGAGCTATATTGGCTGGAACATATGTTCCTGTAGGTTCTACCATGCCAGGCAGGTCGATTGGAGAACGGTAAGACTAAAAGCAGCAACTCAAGGTCTGAGGGCGAAGTCGTACTGCTGACTGTAGAGGGTGTGACAGCAGTAAGGTGTTTCCCTCGGACAACCAGCATGACAGCGATGCTGCCTTCCCACAAGGAGGGGTGGGGTTAGAAAAGGTCGACCCTAAAAATGTCACACCTCACCTTACCTCACGGATTTCCGTCTCCGGCGGTAAGGCCCTTTGAAGAACGGAGCTAACACGTTAAAAACCTTCCACAAAAAGGCCGTGCGCGACCGGCCTCAAGCAGTTGTCCCTTGGGCTCTGCGGTCACGCTCCCAGGTCGTCAAGACCAACACTAATCCAATTTCCTTTTCAGGTTCCTCAAGAAATACCCTTCCACGGTGTGGGCAGCCGGGAAGTGACATCAGCCCTCATACCCGTAACAGCACACGAGACCAAGTTGGTCACATTCAAATCCTTCCTACACCTCCTAATACCTCTCTTATCTCCATGACTAACCCTCCTCACGTCTCTTTATCACCTCGCACCGCTAGGGCAAACGATTCGAGTACGCGGAACGCCATTCCTGGTCTCCTGAAACCACGCTCTAAACTACACGTAGGAGCTTTTAACGTACGAACACTGTGCCAAATAGGACAACAGGCTTCCTTAGCTAGGACTTTAGAATCTCGCGCCATCGATGTGTGCTGCGTCTCCGAAACGCGCATACAGGATCCGAGTAGCGTCATTCATTTGACCTCACCATGCCAAAATAAAGAACCGACTCGATTTACGCTTCGTGTATCTGGAAGCCCTGATTCTGCTTCCCGTGGCCTCGCCGGCGTAGGTATAGCATTGAGTCCTAGGGCAGAACTAGCTCTCTTAGAGTGGATCCCAGTAGACAGTCGTTTGTGCGCTGTCCGACTGAACGGAACAGTAAGGATCCGAAAGATAGGGACACTCGTCGTTGCCTCTTCGTCGTCTCTGCCTATTCTCCCACTGACTGCAGCTCAGATGATGTAAAAGATGAGTTTTACAGAAAGCTCTCGACCTTCTCCGAAAAGCTAGGCGCTCGGATGTAGTAATAGTGGCCGGTGACTTTAATGCTCAAGTAGGTAAACTAAGCGATAGGGAAAGACACCTAGGTGGATCTTATAGGTCGTGGCTCAAAGAACAGATAATGGCGACCGTCTGTTGCAGCTATGCTCAGATAACCGCCTGTTCCTTGCAAATACTAACTTTAAGCATAAGGAAAAACATCTTTTAACATGGCGACCCCCTAATTCGTCCCAACGTTGGACCCAAATAGATCACATCGCTATCAGCCACCGATGGAGGGGCTCGATAGAAGACTGTCGCTCATTCTGGAGCACATGCCTAGATTCAGATCATGCTCTAGTGCGAGCGCGTATTTGCTTGCGTCTTACTGGACGTAGGAAAGACGCTGCAAGGAAACCTCTTAGGGCCTACTTAATGATAGTCAAGCTAAGAGTATATTTCAGGAACAACTAGGAAAACAGTTAGGCAGCCATGTATGTGATGCCCACCCCGATGCAGCATGGAATGATATCCGAAAAGCTGTGGAAACAGCAGTGATATCTGCTAGTAAGGTAAACCGTAAGGTTAGGGAGCAACACTGGATCTCAGCAGCATCTATCGCACTGATAGATGCTCGGAAACTCATTCCACCTGGCTCTGAACATAATGAAGAGCGGAGTCAGCTTAAGCGCAAGCTGACAAGAAGTCTACGCAATGATCGTGAACAGTGGTGGGTAGCGAAAGCAAGAGAGATGGAAAAGGCAGCGGCAATAGGTAATAGCAGACAATTGTTCAGACTCGTTAAGGAAACCGGAATTAGGAACCCGACTGTTAGCGAAACAATCTCAGAGAAAGATGGACATATTATACATTCTCAATCCAGGAGATTGGATCGATGGGCAGAACACTTTAGGGATCAGTTCAACTGGCCTTCAGCCACACTTCGGTTTCCCACGATCTCCAGTCAACCTGAATGGCAAGTTAATGTAGGTCCTCCGTCTCTTTACGAAGTTGAAAAAGCCATAGGAAATCTGAAACGAGGGAGAGCAGCAGGCCCTGACAGGTTTACTCCTGAGATTTTTAAGGATGGTGGTCCAGTATTAGCAATGAGATTAACTGAGGTCTTAGGTAGAATTTGGGAACTGGACGTAATCCCATCTGACTGGTCTCAATCACTGATTGTGCCAGTCTATAAGAAAGGACAAAAGTCCTCTTGTGACAATCACAGAGGAATCAGTTTGACTAATATAGTGTCTAAAATATTAGCTTCAATAATACTTCGACGCCTAACAAAGCTCGTGAAGAGCAGACTAGAGAAAACCAGGCTGGTTTTCGACCTGGACGTGGTTGTATAGATCAGATATTCACACTACGTCAGGTTCTAGAACACAGACACACATTCAGACGCCCCACAATGGTAGTATTTCTCGACCTTAAGGCGGCATTCGACTCTGTTGATCGTGAGGTTCTATGGCAGTGTTTGTCACTGAAAGGAGTACCAAAGAAGTACATTAACCTTATAAAGGCTCTCTACTCGAACACAACTGGTAGAGTGAGAGCTTATGGCGAACTGTCATCAGAATTGATTACCTCAAGTGGTGTTCGTCAGGGCTGTCCACTCTCCCCATTCTTGTTCAACTTTGTCATCGACGTACTTTTAGAGATAACACTCTCCTCATCTAAATTTCCAGGGGTTGAACTTCTACCGGGAGGTTCACTTGTTGACTTAGAATATGCTGATGACATAGTTTTATTTGGTGAAGACGCTGACAAAATGCAGAGTCTTCTGACCACTCTAAGCAACAATGCAAGCATGTTCGGGATGCGATTCTCTCCCTCGAAATGCAAAATGTTGCTTCAGGATTGGGTTACATCGACACCCGAACTAGTGATAGGGAGTGAAGTAGTTGAGTGTGTCGACCGCTTCACTTATCTTGGAAGTCTCATCAGCCCTTGTGTTTTGGTGTGTGACGAAATCTCAGCACGGATACAGAAGGCTCGACTAGCTTTTGCCAACTTGCGTCATTTATGGCGTAGGCGAGATATCCGTCTATCAACCAAAGGACGTGTTTACTGCGCAGCAGTTCGTTCCGTCCTACTTTATGGCAGTGAAACATGGCCGGTAAGAGTAGAGGATATTCGTAGGTTATTAGTATTTGATCATAGGTGTCTTCGAAATATTGCTCGTATATCGTGGGACCATCGAGTAAGTAATGCAGTTGTTAGGAAACGGGTACTAGGTAAGGATGGCAAATCAATTGATGAAGTAGTGAAACTTCATCAGTTGAGATGGCTTGGACACGTGTTACGTATGCCCAACGACCGACTGCCTCGACGTGCGATGTTCAGTGGTATAGGAGTAGGTTGGAAGAAAGCTAGGGGCGGCCAGACCAAAACATGGCACAAGTCCATGAAGTCACTGACAAGTGGACTGAGTCATGTTGGTAGGTGTAGACTACCTGGTTGGGAACCGCGAGATGATAGCAACCGATGGTTAGAGACCCTGAATGACATGGCTCAAAATCGTTTGCAGTGGCGCAGGTGCATACACTCTTTGTGTTCTCCCAAATTTTGATCTCCTTATTCCTCCTTGTCTCTTTTTTCTCTTCCCAAATTTATTTCACTGTATTATACTCTTTGAATAACATCTCCAAACGCTAATTTTCCCAATTACTGCTTATACTCTTATTACCTCTACCACTACGGGATTTGAATCGACCACTGCATCTCTGTGCAAATGTGGTATGGCAACTCGAACTGATGTACGTACGTACGAAGTTCTAAGTTGTTACTGACTGACTGAAAATACTAGCAAAATGCCATTACCGGAGGTGAAGCTTATGTCAAACATACAATTTGAGTTTTACGTGCAATATGTAATTGATTACTGATTCAATCCGGATGTCTAAACCAATATCGATGGAGCGGTTCAAACCTGCTGCATACTCAATGAAAGTTGAGGACGTTAACCAATCTAAGGAAGTAGGAACAAAGATTGAAGCAAAAAAATCTCAGTTGCATTCAAAAATTACTACTCACTATTCTGACTGCAGCACCTTTTCCACGATTCCGATCTAACGATATTACACGAAGTGTATCTGAGCCCTCGAGTTTGCAATATTTGTGAGCAATCTACAAGTTAGTTGTATATTGACATTGTTTTTACTTCTAATGTATGATCCTTACTACCATCATTCACGATAATTATTTCAAATGTGAACTTTTATTTGAATCCTTTTACTAAAATAAACTAAAAATTCAAAAATTACTTTTCGTTTATGAAGGTAACCTAATGTTTCAGTCAACATTGCGGGAACTGAAATATGTACAATGGTTTTAATTATACCTACGGCGTTCAACTTCGTTGTAAGCTGGAACTATTACCGATAATTCTTTTTCTGGTCTTTCAGTAAGCCCAAATTTTAACTTAATATATTCAGATTTATCCGGATCATAAAAACATTCTTCTGTACTGCTTCTGGATAGGTTCGGATATGGATCTGTGGTAAGGTACATTACAATCAGGAGCTGAAATATAAAGTTGAACTGGGAATATATCAACTTACTATGAATGTTACTATGACTAAGGTTGTTATGATGGATATCAGAGATAAAAGCCATAGTTCTAATGACATTCTTTTGAAAAGTTAGGGAATCAATAGCTTTTGTATCTAGCTTGTAGATATGTTACAGATACGAAGTTCACTCAGATAGTGTAGGAACCTGGAAAAACAAAAATGAGTTGATAACAAGATAAACATGCATAATTTTGACTTTTTGTCAAGCAACAATAATAAACAAGTCTCTCTGAGCTTGTTCGAAAAGCCTGTAGGTCTTAAATACAGAAGTACAAGTTAATGATTAGTGTCTAATGAATCTAACAGAAAAAGACTAGATCAAAAGAATATCGAGAAGGAACTAGTTAAATTGTATTGACTTTGAATCATGACACAAATAGCGCACTTAGTTGAGTATTTGGAGCTGATAGTCAGTAGTACCATTCCAAGTTAATCTAGGGATTTGTGCATTAACGTGGTGTTGCCACTGGATGTCAGCAAACCTTCGGAGACAACTATGATCAAACACAGAGTCGTCTAACATCCTCAACTCGGAGAAGCCACGCTTTACGAGCATAGAGAAAAACTGCTGTCACTGGCGCGTTGTAGATCCAACCTTTTACAACCTGGCTAACATCACGAAGACGCCAAAGGTGGCCCAGATTAGCATAAGCCGCTCTGGCTTTCACTATACCTGCATTGATTTCATCACTCACGCCACCACCAGCACTTATGCAGCTACCTAGATACACGAAATGGTAGTCAGTGGTCCCAATCCAATTTACTCTAGGGATCAATTTCAAAACTTATGAAGTTTTACAGCGACGTTTGCACATGATTTCGACTATAAATTTTCCTATTCGACAGTAAAATCACATTCTTAACACTACTTTATAAGTAACATTTCGAAGCGATCTAGAAAAAAGAATAAAGTTATGTCAGCCAGCCAGTTACAACGTAAGTCCAGGCAAATATATGCATCGGTCCAAGTTACCACACCTCATTAACACAAGATGAACACCAAATTCAGCAGTTACTTCAACGGTAGTAATATATAAAAGAAATATTGTGTATAAGCATATGACACAGGATGAAATAGTTAGTTCGTAGAGAGAAAGGTATAAATTAATTTTAATCTCAGGGTTTAAGGGAAGACAAAATGTATACACCTACGCCATTATGATCGATTCTGAGCCTCGTCATCCAGTCTCCAACCATTGATTACTATAGTCACGCGGACCCCAACCAAGTAGTCCTTATCTACCAACATGGCTCAGCCCAAACGTTAGTGACTTCAAAGACTGATGCCACGTTTTGGTTTGGCCGCCCCTAACTTTCTTCCAGCCATCTCCAACACTATTCAGCATTGCGGGTCGTGGTATCCCAGCAGATGGGGGCTATATTTCAGAGATATCTGTAACCGAATACTAGTAGCTTACGAGCATCTTCTACTCTTAATGGCCACGTTTCGCAGCCGTAAAGTAGAACAGAACGAACCATCACACACTTAAGACGTCGGCAACGCTTCAGGGGTATTAATCACTGATGGAGGTTGCGAACACTTGAAGGTCAAACTGTCTCAAGATGATTGGTGCGTCACATCGACAATTCGTGAAAATCTTCAGAAGCGGTCAAATCAATTGAGTTCAGCCACACCATGTCTGATAACGTATATTCTTCAAGTAACGAAGACTATGCCATCGTGTTGATGCGTGATATAGGACAAATCTTCAATGATATTATGTTATTTCGGAGATTTAAAAGTTGGGAAAATTTTGAGACCTTGTAGTGACTCATATTTATCACGAGAACACTACTGTTTTAATAAAAACAATTATTATCATAACTAACTGTACCAGTGTTTGTTTTAATGTGCTTTTGTTTGACTGTACTAATGACAGCTATTTTGTGCTTCCATTCATATACACACCCTTTGATTGTGACTTCGCGCGAATTCGGTTACGTTCTGTAACCAAGCTTGTATTCTGGCACGATCTCGGTATCCTTTCGATACCACGAGATCGCCAGCGAATATATCTCGATTTGGTCCATTAATCGCCTTCTGATATTTGGCTTATCGGGGATCTTATGGATTTATTTGGTTACGTTCAACCTTCGCCTTCTGATTTACTTGGCACGTGATATTTTGGTAGCGGTGTTCATAGTCAATCCCGACTCGACACCACGCTACAACCTGTTTGAAAGAAGTATTTCTTCATGAGATATGTCTCTACAAGTGGACGTAAACCCAGTTCGTCAGATGCTTGCATTCGGGATTGGCAAAAGCCAAACGAGCTTTTCGAATCCGTGCTGAAATTTCGTCAGACACCAACCCATTAGGGCTGATCAGACTTCCAAAATAAGTGAAGTTGTCAACACGATCGACTACTTCACTCTACATCTCTAGTTCAAGTGCTGACTCAGACTTGTCCTGATCAGGACAACAAATTCCATTTTGAGAAACGCTTCTCAAACATTCTGACATTGTTGCTCAGTGCTATCAAAGGACTATGCATTTTGTCAGCGGTTTCACTTAACAGAACTATGTCGTCTTCGTATTTTAAGTCGATAAGTGGACCTCCTGGTAGGAGGTCAATGCCCAGAATTTCAGTTGACGAGAACATTATTTCAATCAGTATGTCTGTGATGAAGTTGAACAAAAATGGAAATGGTGGACAGCCTTGACGAACACCATTTGGGGTTGCAAAATCAAATGACAGTGTAGAGGCTAGTTTTCTTTATATATGGATTCACTCGAGATTATTCAGAAGTGTGAACACCACTTGTAGAGACATTTTATTGTTAAAGATTAATAAAATCCGCAAGCGCACAGCAAACAAGCACACAGTCAAACCAGGAGTGTGTGAGTGTGAGTGTTGAAAACCATATATATTTTTGAGTGTTAATCAAGTGTGGATAATTTATTGATTATGTATGTGTTACAACAAATGGGAGAACAGATTAAGGATTGATATGCAGACACGGGCTCAATCATACACACACAGAAATAAACATAGTGTCTAAATTACAGTGAGTAGACAAATAATACAATAGTTGAATGGGCTTACTGCAACAGTTCGCCATAACCTCTAACTCAACAGGTAACGTTCGAGTGAACAGCCTTCACAAGGCGTATGTGCTTCTGAGGAACACCTTTCAAAGACAGATAGTGCCACAGAACCGCTCAGTCTATAAAGTTAAGCGCCGTTGTTAAGCGAAGAAAAAATATCATTGTCGGACGCCCATAAACATGTCTGTGTTTTAAAACTTGACGAACAGTGAATATGTGGTCGATGCAGTCACAACCAGGTCTGAAGCCATCCTAGTTTTCTCGTCTTTGCAGTTCACGAGTTTTTGTTAAGCGCTCGATAGTTATTGAACTAATCTCTCTATGAATTGAAATTACACTCAGTCACGAAGCATCAGAAAATCTTATTTTTATACTCATTGGGATATTACAAATATATTACTTTTATTAATAACAATCTACCCAATGCCCGACTTATATGAAACCACCAGGTCAAATATTGATAATGATACCTGTAATCCCTCTATGGTTATCACAGGATGATTTGGATTCCTTGTTATATATTGAGACAATCAATGATTGCGATCAGTCACATGGAATTACATCCAGTTTACAGATTTCAGCCAAAATATTAGTCGACGTAATCGCTGAAACTAGATCACTATCCTTAAAGACTTCTGGAGTAAATCCATCTTGACCAACTGCTCTTCCTCGTTTTAGATTAAATATGTGTAGCGACTCACTTTTATCATGAGGACGCGACTGGTTTAACGAAAACAATCATTATTATAAGCACCCGTACCAGTGGTTGTTTTAACGTGCTTTTGTTTAACCGTGCTAATTACAGCCATTTTGTGCTTCCATTATCTTCCGTCATTGTTCTGCGGTTTTTAGCTTCGTTCGCACGTACTCCACTTTCCTGTTTTCGCTTGTACCATTTCTTGGCACGATCTTGGTATTCGTTCAATACCACGAGATCGCCAACGAAATAAATCTGGTTACGTTCAACCTTCGCCTTCTGATTTCTTTGGCACGTGTTTCTTGGTAGCGGTGTTCATAGACAATTTCGACTCGACGCCACGCTACATATGGCTTTCCGAACTCTATCTAGGGTCGGGGAGATCTACTTAGATGATCCACTCAGGCTATCTGGGAATGGTGGGTAGTTGTAGAGTAGCTGAAGACCAGTTGAACAGCTTCTTAAATTGTTTTGCACATCGTTCTAAACGTCTGGAATGAGAGCAGAGAAGTGTGTCATCTTTTTCCGAGATCATATCACTTAAACTTGACTTATTAATTCCAGTTTCTCTTATAAGTCTGTAGAGCTGTCTCGTGTTATCTACAGCCGCTTCTTTTCCCATCTCTTTTGCCTTCGTTTCCCATCACTGCCCACGGAGCCTGATGGGATGAGTTTACGCGAATCCATTAATGCGATAGACTTAGAAGAAGTCGACTGTTTTTTCGTAACCGTTCGATGTAAATCACTAACAGATGTCGCTGCTGTTTTCCAAGCAACATCTGGGTCAGCCGCGTTTTCAGAACTACCTAAGTGTGACCTCAGTTGTTCCTGGAACCTACTTATAGTTTTCTCATTCTAATGTGTCTTTATTGTGACCTTTCTGTGTCCCTTGAGGCGCAAGCAGATGCGTTCTGGTATTAGAGCAGGTATTCCAGAATGAGCGACATTCTCCTATCAACACTTTACAATGATGACTTATGGCAACAACAATAATAATTTATTCTCAGTTAACAGTTTGTGACATGAGGTATATTAGTTTAGAGACAAGATCAAGTTGTTACAAAGGATAAAGTCTGGTCTCTTTGAGTCAGTCGTTGTGTTTGGTGCAGGAAGTCGCCATGTGATACGATGTCTCTCCTCATGCTTAAAATTAGTGCTTACTAAAAATAAACGATTGTCTGAGCACAGTTGCAACAGATTATCAACATTATCTGTTCGCTGAGCTGAAATACTAGAATACCCACCTAAATGTTATCCTGTTTGGTTCGAGCTACCTACGTGGGCATCAGAGTCACCTGCTACGAGTACTGTGTCTGAGCGTTTAGCATCCTGAAGAAGTTCAGAAAGCTTCCTGTAAAATTTATTTTTCACTTCATTCGGGCTGCAGTCGGTGGGAGAGTAGGCAGAAATGATGAAAAGTCAACGACGTGTGTTCAGATCCTTACGAGTTCTTATGGAGCCGTTTAGCCGAACAGTACATAAGTGACTGTTGACAAGAATCAATTCCAACAGTGCTTGCTCTGTCCTCATAATTAGCGCTATGCTTACACCCGCCAGTCCATGAGAGCTCGCCGTCGGGTTGCCAGACAAACGGAGCGTGTCTCCTCTGCCTCCCGTTTTGGCTGAGTGAGATCAAGGTAATGGCCAAACTAGGATCATGTGTATTTTGGCAACACAGCATACATCTATGGTACGAGATTCTAGAGTCTTAGTCAAAGATGCCTGTTGGCCCATATGACACAGGGTGCGTAAGTTGAAAGCTCCAATGTGTAGTTTGCAGCGAGGTTTCAGCACAACTGGGACAGTGTTTTTCGCACTAGAATCGTTGGCTATGGTGAAACTCGAGGAGGATTGAAAAGAGGAAGCTTAGAGTTGGAAGTCGACATAGGACTTGAAGAGGGTAACAGATCATGAATCCAGTGATCTTGAGTGCAGTCAAAGGCATGAGATCGGTTGTCACTCCTCTGCTACACACACCATGAGAAAGTTCTTCTGGTGGTACCTCAAAAGGAAATTGGGTTAGAGGTGGTTTTAGTGACCTGACCTGGACCGCAGTACCAAAGGGACAACTGCTTGAGGCCAGTCACGCACGACATTTCTGTGGATAATTACCGTGTTAGCCCCATACTTGTTGGGACTTTGCCACCGGAGATAGAAATCCGTGGGCCAAGGGGAGGTTTGTATTTTTAGGGTCGGCCTTTTCCACCCCCACCCCTCCTCGTCGGTAGGCTACATGCTGTTATGCTGGTTATCTGAGGGAAACCCCTTAATGTCGTCGCACCTCTGCACAGTCAGCAGTACGACTTTGCCACTGGACTTTGGGGCTGCTGGTTTTAGTCTTACTGCCCTTCAACCGACCTGTGTGGCACAGTATGATCTCGAGGAACGCTTGTTACACACAGTATAGGTCGATTGGTTCGTTGCGATAGACAAGCACGACTACCACGTCAAGGTAGCAGCAACGGTCAGAAGAAGTTATGGGGTGTGGAAAGACATGTGTATTACTTCCATTTTCAAGTGTCGCTGTGACATTACTTCCCGTCGTACTGGAAAAAAACGATTTCTCAGATACACCCCAAATGCTCAACATGTTTGTCGCGGTGCATGTACATTGTAGTGCCTGTCCTAGGCAATCTAAGGTGTATACATTGTAAATCGTTTCCGATGCGGATTAAATAATACTACACAGAATTTCATGTAAGGAATTTATCGTGGGCTGTCTCATCAGCTGAGCTGCCAACCTGAAAAAGTATCAAAGGTATCTCATTGAATAATATCAATGTACCTATAAAATGAAAGATAAGTGTCACTCACATTACAAGTACAAGGTATAGAATTGATTACCAATAAATTAGGGATCAGTGTGCTTAATGAGGATACAACATTACTCGCCCGATATCACTCACAGTCAAAAACACCGCAAAGTTGGCCCCAGTAGCAAACCCAGACTATTATTAGTGTGCCACTGAGATAATTTTACGACCAAATAGCCAAGTCCCCAACAAGAGACCCGTATTAACACAGGAAATACAGTGATTTGTGATCAATTTCGGTAGTCAAAGAAAATTAATGATATTTAAGTCCAACTACTAAATGCCGGCAAATATATTAGAATAACAGTATTTCATCGGTAGCGCCCTTCGATGACTGACTACAAATTACGTAAGTCGACTTTGGCATCATATGTGGGAATTAACGACCACGGTTATCGAATTGAATTTCCATTGTAAGACCAATAGTGGTGTTCAAGTCTTTTCGGTCTGATACACAATAAAAGCAACATATGTGCTCACTTTATCCAGCAGGTAAGAGTCACTGGCTTTAACTAACACGATCCTCACTAGGAAAATCATGTAGTAGTACTGGAATACACGGATTCTAGTAGTTTCAATCTTTTGAAATTCAATTTCGCTTACATAAGTATACTGGAGGTGAAGACTCAACTTAAGCTCGGTTCTTCAACCTCATCGAGGATCTGTGATTATTCGAAAATGTGAAGTCGTCAACTCGTTGTAGAAACAGTCAGACGCCGTCGCGCTTAGACTGGTTATTCACAGACGAAGAATTCCTAGTTGACAACCTCTCAATCCTGGCCCCCTGAAAAGCGATCATGCCGTCATAGCCTTCAGTTTTGTGAGCAAAACTTTGCTAAGATATCCCACCAACAACAGGCGATGGAAATTCGAACGGTTGAATGTGGCAGCCTTACAGAACTATCTACAACAGGTGGATTGGAATGTTCAAACTCAACATGATGTGGATGCTCATCGGTTTATTTTTACCGCAAACACTTTTATGTGCTACAAAACAGTCTGTTACTCAGATGGCCTCCAAAATCTACAAGCAACCTACAGTCATCAAGAACCACATTCTTCGTTTGCTAAGCCGCAAAAGTCACTGTTGAGCAGAATACAAACGAACTGATAACAACGGCGCGTACAGGCAATGCAAACATATAAGGAAGCGCATTTTTATCCGGTTTGACAGAAGAACTCTCCACATAATCCTCGACAGCTTTATCTGTCCCCATTTACAATACGAAAACATAGTATTTCCTCTCTCACTTCAAAAGGACAAGGACACTCTGAAGCGTATCCAATGGCGAGCCACGAAATCAGTTCAGCGACTCGAATTCTAACCTTGTGAAGAACGCCTACAATCACTTAGCCTTTACTCGTTAGGGTATGGGAGTCTTAGAGGTAACCTTCCTATGGCTTACAGTATCCTTAACACTCCTGAACATCCTCTTAAACACCTAATTAAGCTTAGTCTCAATACTAACCTAAGGGATAACACCCAGAAATTGGAGACACAACATGACAGAACGGACTGTAGACACAACTTCTACTCCTTAAGAGTTGTCAAATGCTTGGATTCGCCTCCGACTGAGCTAGTCCAAGCGACTTCCCAGGAGTCCTTTAAGAGGAAGCTTGACCTATTTTTCAGGGCTACGAATAACATCTTATTACTACTTACCAATTTCTTTTTTCATCTATTATCGTTAATATGATTGGGTTCGTGCCTGGTGATCCACTACTACTAGACACAACCATTTGAAGGTTTGGTCTTCGAACTTCCAAAAGATGTTTGCAACGCATTTGAAACCATACTTTACTCATCCTGGGTTTCGATTTATGGTTTGCAAGGGTCGGAGAGTTGTGCATTGTTAATTGAAGTTGCACTAGTAAGTTCACTAACAACACTTCCTAAAACATCAGACGTCTTCCCCCTTTAAGCTTCTCTCTCAGATCTTTTGTGAAAAGAGATCTTAACAATTGTTAGTCGAGTGGACCACCATTACCGAGGCTTACTCATGTTTTCTTATTTGCACGATTACAACACATTTAAGAGTTGTCAGCAAATTATTTGATGACTGAGAGTTACATGTTTTTAAAGTTATAGCAATCGGTTAACTTTTTATCGATTTACTTCTTAATCGACAACTGGTCGAATATAATACATGCTTGACGACTCAGTTGCCGACGTCACTCTTGCTGATTTCCAGATATTAGAATCACCCTGCGCCGATGTTCCGTTTGACCGTGGCCCTCAGTTCCATTTAAATCTCCAGTGTCGTACATGTGAATCATTTAAAGAAACGTTTGTCTGCTGTGATTGTGTTAGGAAGGATTCCATATTCTCGAAGAAGTCCGGAAAACTTAGGTAAGAATACCTTTTGAAATAGATTCTTTACAGCTTTCCTCAAAATTCTGATCGGATTGTGACAGTCCGTAAATCGGTTAATGACTTAAATAGAAAGTAGGTTTACCGATTTAATTATTTGCGGATTAGGATTAAAGTATACGAACCCATACTGTTCAAATCTGTATTTCACACTTTTGTAAGATCTCGTTGTGCATATTTTTGTATTAAAGCAGGGTAGAGTTGAAGAGTTGAATGCTCAGATTTCTTCTTTGGAACATACGATCGAGTTTCTTACTAAAATGAACGTAGACAGTAAGTCGTACTTATTATACTGTGCGTTATTTCAGAACGCAAAAAGCTACAACGTGTTCGACAAGCTATGACACGATGCCATACCGCATCCCAGCATCTTCTGAAGCAGCAAGCTAATTTGGTACGGCATTTTATCACGGTTGCACAGAGAAAAAAGTTATTGGTAGCTGATCTTGATATAGTAAACAGGCAAATCAAGCACGTACATGATACTTATTTTGAGGAGTTGCTTGGAGTTTATTTCGTGACCGACCTGTCGGTGAGTTTAGTTACGTTGTTTTCATAGATAGCGAAACACGCTATAGTTCAATATGTTTGTACCGGGCAATGTCTAATTTCATTACATTTGCATGAACTACAATCTGACTCTTGAATAGGGATCTACATAGGTTCACTAGCATAGCAAGTTTACCGCTGTTCTCATTTACTTAGTTACGGGTTCAAATTCTATTTTAATCTCGTTTGGTTTGAAAATCCGGTTAGTGTTACTAGCCCTCGCAAAATTCCACTCTAAACTAAGTTCATGGACATTTTCCTGTTGACTAGTAATATATTATGGATAAATAAGTATTGACAGAAAAGGAGAAACTCCACAAAGCATGTCTAGTTTTTACAATTGATTGACCACTGGGTGGTGATCAATGTCATGTGTGTCAGGTTCTTCTTAGTACAGGTTGAATCCTGTCGCCCAAGTTACATTGTGGCCACGAATCTGAGTGACTTGACATCGCTTGCACCATGTTGAGATAAGATGGTGGTTAGAGGTAGTCATCAGGAATCCCTGGAGCTAGGTTTCGTCCTACTTGGCACTTGTTAGGTTCTTCTTAGTGCAGGCCGAATCCTTTTGGCGTCTAGTTTACCACTCCTTACATTTAATTATTTGTCAGATTTTGTGCTGTTAAGGCGACTTAACATTATGTGATGTGTCATAAGATAATATTACTGAATGCAATTAAAGTTTGACAGTATGTTATCACTCGACTTATGATGATTTATTAGTCTTAAAAACATTCACTTAGATGTTAGCTACATCTTGCATGTCAGTACTAAATTTATGTTCATTTCATTTTCAGACTGATGGTTTATCTCCGGATAGGTTTGTTTGTTCACCTTTACATATCGATAAAGAGAACATTTTTGCAGGTTAGTGTCGCTCTGAAGTTTCGATTGATGTATTTTTGTTGTCGAGTAACATGATCATTGTCATACAAAGCTGTTGTACATTCACTGTAGATTTGAAATGTATAATTCAAGATGATATTTACTCTTGTAATATTTTTTGTACCATATATTGTACCACTTATTATTCTCAATGTGGAATCTCCACGCTTCATACCACTTCTATTTTGCGATGAAAATCTTTTGAACCACAGGTGACCTGTTCAACTGGTATACTATTTTAATTGTGTACAATTGTACTCTTATATCACTTTACTCAACTACTCTAGCTATTTTGTGACTTCATATTTTTGTAGATCGGTGATAAATTGACGTAGATAACATGTGTTCCTAAATTTCCTATAAACCTCCAGCTATATCTTTAAAGTCTTCACTTTTTATCACCTTTACTGTAGGTCCTGAACCCACCCCATCCAGTCATACGGCTTTAACATATTGCTCAGTAGCAATAAGGGTTTCAACTATCTTGTTAGATGTTTGGTTGCCAGTCTCCATTCGCCGGAATTTGCATTTGGTTGGTTCTTTTTTGTCTGCATTACCTCAGAGGGATGATATGGGTCGTGTGTATTTCGCAGTCATTCATGCTGTTCACCTGTTATGCCAATGTCGAGGGATTGATATAAAACATGGATTAGAACAGCTTGGGATAAGCGTAATTCCTGGACGGAACACATTTTACAATCCATTATTTGGATTATATTGCCTTGGGCATCTGGTCAGTCACAATAATAAGTCTACTAGGTAATATTTTTGTACCGAAACTCTATGTATAAACATTATTTAACTAATTTTATCGTTAAGTTAGTAGGTTTACAGATCATTGCTACTGTACCTATCGTCGGGTAGTTTAGTTATAAATCTGACAAACGAGATTGTGAGCTCGTACATTAATTAGTGTTTAATAAACATTATTGAACACCGTCAACATTTTTTGAAGGTCCCTTAGGTTTGTGTATTTTAATCTTGCATAATACATACTTAATAACGTAGTTAGATTCAACAAAACCTCTCCAAAATTATTGGATAAATAATGTTCTCGGTAGTGAAACTAGAGAGAGCACTTCAACCTAGCTAGTGTAAGGTGAAATAGTATTAGACTATTAAGATATTATTAATGCACCGTAGTCCGTTCAGTTATCGGTTTCAATCGCTAGTATTTAAACCTAAATTTTACGATCTGTCGTACAGCTATGAATGAATACACTGACTACTTAGTTGGTACTTTGGTGTATGCTACTTATGTCGATAGACGTATGAAATGATAAATTGGTTGTCCCTACCTGAGTGTTTGTTCACAACGGTGCCACATACTAAATATCCTCGTATAACTTTTATTCTCCAATCACTATGTCGCAGTTAACCAACGATCTGGTAGGATATGTGCATTATTTTTAATAATTGCTTGGTGATAACTCCCTGTCTAACCGTAATCCATGCATTGTAGAAGTGACAGTTGGAACATTAAAAGTTTTTATATATGTGATAAGTGGAATTATTTCCCAGATGTGTTTCCCCTATGTAAATAGACAGCGTTCTTACTCATAGTGTCTTAATCTGTGAAGTAATTAGTGTGTGATGGATGGTCTTATTTATTTGTTTTATATTGCTTGCACCGTAAATATCTTGAAACTAAGTAGTTGAATAATGTTAGTAAACTTTCATGTTACTAAAACATTTCAGGATACATTTAATACGTAATGTTTCGATTTTGTTACTTTTCAGATTGTTCAAATATTTCTTGGTTTGTCTATTAATTGATTTTCTTTGATTCTTAGGTACTTTGACGAATGTTACAATATAAAACTAGATGGGCTTTTTGGAAAGATTCCATCATTATCCTTAATGAGTCATCCTACAGTTTCATTTAGTTCACCGTGTTTTGTAGAGAAAGGCGAAGAAGTGGATGAGATGTTTGGCTTATCAAACGATAATAGTTTAACTTTATGTGACAAACAAGTGAATAGGTTTACTTTATGTAGGGCAAGTAGTTCCGACTATGTTCAGTCATCCAATAAACTCGAAGAACACGACTCGTCTGTTGGTTTGGAATGTTGGGAACTAGTTTCTGTGACCTCACCAGGAGAACCAGAATCATGTGAAACTACAGTGACCAATGCCGGATTTATGGATTCAACGCAATATCCTGGTCCACTTTCGAAAGTTTGGCGTCTAGCGAAAGGGATTATGGGAACTTCAGAACTTAGTGATTGTGACGAATAACGTGAAAAAACAGATCGTGACCAAACTTTGTTCATTGTTTTTCAAACCAGAGTCTTTCATGAAGCAAACTTGCAAAATCTTTAGTCTTTCAACATTTTAATTTGTAAAATAAAATTCGAAAAAACAAATTTTTCCCCATTATTGTATATATGTCAAAAAGTTTTATTTTGAATTCTGTTCCTTGTGAATTAATCAACTAAGGCGAAGTATTAGGAAAAATGAACAGCTTGATGTACTTGTAAACATTAGTATAGATATTTGGTTCATTTGCCCAGTATATGTTCATGTACTCCTGAGTCATATTTTGTAGTGATAACTAGTGATACTACCCGGCTGCCTAAATCGGATTCTTAATCCACTGGTTGAAGTACATAGTACACACAAGTGGGTAATCATGGATTTATGTATTCTGTTAGATCTCCGTCAGGCTTTGCTCTAATATACAGTAATATTTATATGCATATACGAAATTGTTAAATTAATCAAGGCAGTTACTGAGTTAGTGATAACAGTGGAATAGATCACATAAGTAAAGAGTACAAATTCATAGTATTTGTATTCATAAGCGTTATAACTTGTGACCTGTGCGCCCTGCTAATATATAACGTAACGATGCCACCAAATATAGAGCAGTGAATTATCGATCGGACCAATGACGCCTAAAACCCATACGAGCAGTCTAGAGTTTTTATCGGTCCTGCTTCCTGCCTAGCCCAATCAGTTAGGTCCAGGACACGAATCTCTGCCTCTGCGACATGAATAATTTATTTCAAGCATACTGGGTCTATATACCAATCAAGCAGACCACATCGTACCAATAAGGTATGAAACGACATTTGTACAAGAATTAGCCAAATGTGGATGTGAATGAGGGAGGTAGTAAGTAATAGACGGCATAATTCAAGAATGGTAAGTCGTATAATGATAGTTCATAGGCCAAAACAAAGCTTATAATAAGGGGGACATGAATGTGAACAGTTTAGTTATTTAACAATTATAAAAATATACACATAGTATTGGTCCACAAATGGATCCCAGAAAGTTACCATTCATTATGCTTATCGGGACATAACAATGAGGAATTTGTAACACCTTTGTCTCTTCCTTGATCGAGATAGCCTTAATAAACGATCTTACTAATCATTTTTCGCACCTTTTGTTCTTTTATTTCTCTTCATTCAATCCAAATCATTTCCAAATGTACGCTTCATTGTTCAATTATCTGGACATTTCTTATTACATAATCCTACAGTTTTTATGAGTGCTATTTCACTGTCTATATTTCTAAAGTCATTGACCTATTTCCCATTATGAAACATGGATTCAAGCCCTAGTACACCTGTCATATCACTATAAATTTGTACTCTTTACTTATGTGACCTATTCCACTGTTATCACTGACTCATTAACTGCCTTGATTAATTTTGTATATGTATATAAATATTACTGTATATTAGAGTAAAGCCTGACGGAGATCTAACAGAATACATGAATCCATGATTACCCACTTGTGTGTACCATGTATCTTCAACCAATGGATTAAGAATTCGATTTGGGCAATCGGCTAATATCAAGCCTAATGAGGATCTAATTGGAAACAATGTTGTTCGCTTGTTGTTGTTCTAATTCACAATATGAGAATTTTTAAGATTCATATATTTTAAAAATGTCCATTTGTATAGTTCAGTATCTACTAATGAGTTATTATTTTGGTTAAAATAAATTATTATTAGTGTGTGTTTTTCCATATTTCTTCGATATTAAGAGTAAAGAATCTTGATTAGTACGTACTTCAGTGTTTTTTTTAAATCATAAACAGTGAATAAAGTAGGTAAACTCTCAGTTTTGTTTAGTCAATATTTTTCAGTCCTAAATCGATCAACATAATTTAGATTGTTGTTGAACGTTTATAGTATGGGGTCACTCAATCCACTGAATATAAATTACAACTGAAATAATTTAATATAGCTGGTAGTTTCTTGGTAGGTGGAAGACCCGGTTCCATGATCAGCCATATCTATCATAATACCCTGAACCGCCAGTGATCAAACCTAGGTTTTATAGTAGTTACCTTACTCGATCACCAAGCAACACATTAATTGTAACAGCTATATGTCCTAAAGTAACGTAAGACTAGGAATTCAGGGATGTATGACTAGTAGAGATCTACTTCAAAGTAAGCTGATTACTGTCAATGTTATTACACGGTTAAAACCCATATACTATTGCAATTGATGTAAAGTACTTTAATGTAGTTTATACATTTCAATACCAAAAGCTTATTGTTCGAACATTTTTCTCATTCTAGGTGTATTTAATATTCAATATATTTTAAAGCAAATTACTTTAGAGACCATTAATCTAAGAAAATCATTCGAAGATTGTACACGTGTTTATATCGTGTGATTAATGCATATGATGTAGCTTAATTTTGGTTATACTCCGATTAATTTGAAGCGTTTTCTAAATTATTCTGATTATAATTACATTTACCTACTGTGACTCAATATAGCTCCTACATCTATATATTTATGCACCCTAGGAAAGTAAAATTCTTATTACTTAGTATTTGTTCCGGGACTTTCGGTTTATTTGTGGGAACAGTATGCTGTAACGAGGCATTAACGGCGATAGGATATGTCGAACGACAACTAAACAAACATACCTACAGTACTGAATTCGCTACCGAAGTTTTGATTTTATTTTGAGACTAGTTATCGTACAACATTTATCCCTGGGTATTACCTTAAATTCTGATCATACTTTCTTGAACTGGATTTAAATTATAGGGGTGTTTTGATTTTGGACTTCGGCCGTATTAAGGGATTATATCGCAGTGAAACAGTTAGTGAAGTTCGACGAGACTGTCTTCCTATTGGAATTAGTACCATCATCATTCCTAAGCTGTAAGGTCAAAAGTTTCGCAGTTCAACTTAAATAAGAAGTCTCGTGTCGACTGGTTTCATAGGTTTTGAACATTTTTAGGTCAATAATAAATAAAGAGAGATCATAAAATCAGAACGACTGATTGTTAATTTTCAGATAGCCTGAACAATATTCAATCGAGGTTTCAGAATTAAGGAACAAGGTGAGAACGCTAAAGATTTGTTGCAGCTGAATACTGAAGCTTTTCGATATACCTGATGCGGCCGAGGATGGGGAGAGTCAGCTCTCCCTTCCGAGATGCTTTTACATGGCCATGCGTATACAGCCACTGACAGGGGAGTCCTGCTCACTGCAATCTCGCGGTATTACTTTTGTTTACGAAGTTGACAAAACGAAAAGTGAGTGTTTGGTGCATTAACCGGGTTGGTGGACACGAAGGGTCCGCCTAGAGGAGTTGAAGAACCCTGATTCCAAACCAATGGTCCATATGGGCTCCAGGATTCTGATGGATCAAATGCCACATGAACTTACTGTTGGTCATCAGCTACCATGTGACTGCATCTCCTGGTGTTGCTCCACTACCTTATGGGTCAGGCTTCGGGTGTGGCCCCCTAAAAGAAGCACCTGCTTCAGTTTTGGCATCCGGGCAGTATCCCAGTCCCCACACAAATCAAGAGACTTCTGCGGTGCATATGTATTCGATGCCGCTTTGTACCAATATTATTGCGTTCAAATCTCGATAGACTGGTGAAACTGCTTAAGCTGAATTCAGGAAACAATTAATTACGTAGAATATCCTCCCGAGCAATTTTAAGGGACAATAATGTACTTGTTTAGACGTTTATTTTATTTATATATGTTGTATTGAAATTCTCCGTTTATTGAAAAAACACGAGCAAGGAAATATCAGAGAATTGTGCTTGTAATTCCATCTATTCCTTCACAAGGAAAGTCGTTACATTTCGATGTTTCTAAATAACAATTTACAGAACGCATAAGCTATCCACACAAAAAACATTGTATTGGGTAGAGCGCCTATTTAAATATGTTCAGTTGGTGTTTTTCAAAACATCCGCCCAAACTGATGAGTCTCAGGAAGTAGACAGGCTCCGTACTAAAAATGGGGTTATGGACATGTTCCAATAACGGAAGTCCAGGAAACAAGTCAATAATAAGGCAAATGTATTCTAACAAAACTTTAGACGCTGGGAAGATACTTTTATCCTACAGTATCGTGTTACATGTGTGATAAACTACTATACTGATATGAATATATATCCACACTTACCAATCAGTCTCTTTAAATTCTTCCTCTACCCTATTTTTACCTCCCAATAACAGGTCTTAATGAACCTGGACCCCGTGAATAGGATGTATTCGAACATCCCTACGATACATCGGACTACAAATATCTAACTTGCAGATTTATAGTGGTTAATTCAGTTACAGGGTCTAACCAGAAATTGAGCCTGCAAGTTCCTTGACATTAGTGAAAGGATTCACGAATTGTTTTAACCAGATATTTTCATGAAAGTTTATGACTAGACACTCATAAAATTCAGAGGTTAATTGTTATATTGTCAGAATTTCCAGTTCTATTGCATAGAGACTTCATTTTAATGAGATGTGGATTCATAGACGAGTTTATCAGTGGCAGATTGCAAAGACGTGTCGTTGACTTAGCTTAGAACTTGATGTTGAACTTCATTCTATGCTGACGGAAACAACCCATTAACTTTTCAGGGAATAACACTATCTTCAGTGCTTTACATCGTCGTACTAAGGGAAGACTTTGAATATGCCCCGTGTAGCCCGACTGTAAGGCAGACACCCAGTATAGGGAAAATGAAGTGTTGGGTCTAAATACATTCGTACCAACTACTATGAATGTCTTTAACAAATCTCAAGACTAGAAGACCAACCATGTACTACATCAGTTAACAGTTAGTCAAGTAACATAGCAAGCGGCTGTTCGAGATATGTGTCCGACCATAGGAGTAACTTCTGTGTCATGGCGACAGTCTGCAATGCTAACGCAAGGAGGAAAGTCCTATGGTAAAAGTTGTGTAGCTAATACCTGGAGTGTAGTGTTCTGAAACCAAACGTGTTTAGGCCAAAATATCACATCAACATATGACAATAACCCCTTACTTTGGTTTTTTATAACCCTTTAAGAGAGATGTTTATAATCCTAAACCGTTATGTTTAGTTTTCAGCCTGTAGGGGTAGAAAGTGTTATATCATTTTTTGAGAGTGAACTGATTTCGCTGATCCTGCTTGGCAGTCTGTAACAACTTTGACTGTTACAATTAATTGCTGTCTTTTATATCAAGACAGACTGGATAAAATGAGACAAGAAACGCAACTGAGCCGCCTATTTCTTTTTATCAAATTGGAATCGGCCACGTCATTGGCAGTAGAAACCTAAGGATACAGGAAGCAATGCTTAATTTTTACTGAAAGGGCATTACGCTACAGCCTAAAAAGCCCGTATCAGGTATAGACCAACCATTCACATTACATGATATATTGAAGTGTTGCGTCACACGGCAATTGACTTCACACATACCCAATATTTAGCCGGGCAAGCAGATTTAATCATCCATAAAAAAACTAGCTGGTGTTTATATCGGTAGCTACATGTGAATACGAATACAGGACTAATGCTAAAAGTAGCTAAAAGTTTTAGGGGACATATAAATGGAGCCACGTTCAACTAGATTATTGCAGAAACGTATTAAGCTACTATTATAACAGTTACGAAATGCTCAGGACAGTAGGCTTTTTAGTTGGTATACAGGAAGGCCAATTCTCTCGAAACTTATAATGACACTTATATATTATAAACGAAACTGAAAAGCTTCAACTCAAAACAAGTTAGTCAGTTCCACTAGAAACGAAAGGAGAACCAAGATTTGCGGTAAACCTATACGTTTATTTCAGACATTAAAACTTTTGGAATGCCTTTTTGTACTTTGAACTAGCGGCTTTCGAAACTTTGATGACATTGAACGATACTGTTTTACTCAGGGGTCTACACTCACCAACAGTTACGACATCTCCAATATCCACATCTCTGCAAGTGTAAACAAACACAGGGTGAACTCACCTGAAGCAAGGAGATATATGTACAGACATATTCTTATGTCGCTTCTCATATCGGTTGTACTTTTTCACGTACTTAAGGTAATCACGACGAATAACAATAGTCCGGTTCATCTTAGTTTTACGCACAACACCTGTGAGGATTCGACCACGGATACGTACATTTCCAGTGAAGGGACACTTCTTGTCAATGTAATTACCGAATATAGCCTCTTTTGGAGTTTTGTAGCCAAGGCCTATGCTCTTGTAATACCTTCCGCCGTTCTTTCCTTTCACTTCTTGCTTTTGAAATGCGTTTTCTCTCTGGAAATAAACAATTTACGTGACCTACAACTAACCTGCTCAGCCATGCCCAGGTTAATTTAAAGTTTGTGGCGTTCAGGCCCACCCATTTAAACACTTTCTCTTTACAAGCTCGTTGAATTTCAAAATACGTGATTTTTAACTGGGTGTTTTTAAAGTTTCAAATAAAGTAATTAATAAAATTTTTTCAGCATATATTAATGTTTGAAACCTGGAGTATTTGTATTAACTTCGTAGTGATTATCATCCTCAATAATTGGCTAGCTCATTTTGGATAGACTATATATACGGTATACCGTATATTCGTTTACTTTCTTCCCAATTTCATGCTAGTGGACTCTATATATCCAAACTGGTTTTCGTTTGGTTATTTGCTCAAATATCTGATATGGGATGTGCATGGAGTGAACCAGCTAAAGTTCAGCAGGATAAGAGTAGGGCAATAGAAAAGCAAATAAGACACGATGCAGAAAAATCAATGAAAGAGGTCAAGTTACTTCTTCTTGGTGCTGGTGAGTGTGGGAAGTCAACAGTTTTAAAACAGATGAAAATAATCCATGGTGAAGGTTACAGAGAAGAAGAGAGAAAAGAATACAAACCCATCATTTTTGCCAACACCCTTCAGTCGATGATAAAAATACTAAAAGCAATGGAAACACTGGATATAACGGCGGATGGTTTCGACCAAGCAGATGAGTTAAAGCACCTAAACGGATATTTACCTACAGTTGAAGAAGGAGATTTTCCTGAGGATTTATCAAAACTTTTACTGAAACTATGGAACAACACAAGTGTGCAGAAATGTTTCGCACGTTCCAAGGAATACCAACTGAATGATTCTGCAGGCTACTACCTCAGTTCTATTGATAGAATATCTGCTTCTGATTACTTGCCAACTGAACAAGATGTATTGAGATCTAGGGTGAAGACAACAGGTATAGTCGAAACGAACTTTCGGTTCAAGGATCTAGACTTTAAGGTTTTCGATGTCGGTAAGTTCACTGAGATTTATCACAGAACGTTATTTTTATGTCCTGGTTGCCGTAGTACATGATACTCCTGAGGAATTTATGATAATATTAAATTCATGAGGTGACATATTAAGATTTGTGATATTTACAAGTGTGTGAATTTGGTTATTGTGGAGTGTTACGCGATCCCAGTTGTGAAATTACAAACCTTATGTATTTTGAGCTAGCTTTATTAAAGACATTCACTTCTCTTACACTCAGAGAGTGACAATGCATCGTTTTTACTGAACTTTGTACTATAACGAGTCTATAAGATGGCCCAGTTTGTGCTGTCGGTAATAATGTATTATCACTTGTAGTAGCAGCGATTATAATTATGTATATGAGTCTATAGTGTATCATTCCTAATGCATATATCTGCTTTTCTGACACACACTTTGTGCCTCTAAGCTTGAGCCGAACGTACAGCTTATGATGAATGTAGGCACGTTCTCGTTTATGAGCAAGGTGAGACTAAAGATCCTTATTTATTTATTTGATTTACTTATAATATTACTGCATGCATCAGAAATATTTTTGAAGCTCGAATTTTGTGATACTTATTTAATAGACAAAATAAGGATGGAAACTGAAGTTGAAAATTCTTGATGTCCCGTATTTTTAACTATGTGATAAAGTATTTTTCCGAATTCTTACCTCTTTTATGGACTCCATGTTGAAAGTCTTCCATTTCCCTTTCTTATGTGTTATATCTTCCTCGTGATCTTTTGACTGCTACGAAACATTTCTATATGAATGAAATGTGACTAGCACCATTTACTCAAATATGAACTACTTATTTCGTAGAGTAACTATCGGTTGCATTTTTCCTCTTTTCTTTCAAACTTTATTTTGGTTGAATGTAACAACTGTTCAGAATCGTAGCCCTTGTGAATCAGGAAAAAGAGATGATCTGTAACTTGTTATAAATGTGTGTCAGAATATTCTCAGTATAACACTAACTTACTACCATTTAGTCAATCACTTTGTTAGAAGACAGTTTATCCTTTTCCCATCATTGATTACGATGTAAATACTGACTGTTTGTACATCATGAACTTTAACTAAAAATTCAGTTTTGATAACATCAAGATTAATAAAATAGTCACTTAATAGGGAAAACATATAATCATTTTTCGGATTCAGTGGTCATTTAACTTGACTTGGGAGTTTAACCTATCAAATACACGGACTTATAGGAGTGAGTTTGAAAACCTTAACTATGTATTATTTCATGTCTTGTGTAAAACATTTCATCAAATGACGAATTCTAAATATTATTATGAACAAGAACATAAACGAGAATATAAAAGTATGAAGTTATTTGGGTGACCTCACTTAACATAATACATTTTAGGAAATAAGTTTGGGTATCTTAGTATTAGATATGTAATGCATAGACCATGTATTCGTAGATTAAATTTATGCCAATCCCCGAAGTTAAACTTGATGACCACAGAAGTCAGTAGATGTATGTACAGTTGAAATGAAATGAAATATTTGCTTTCCAAATATGGTGATACGGATTTTGAGCAAAAAGAATCAACCATAATGAACTAAACAGAACATTGACAATTTTTAGGGTCTGTGTAGTTTTATGACATCCTCACTGGTTGATTTCGTTTATGATTTCATTCAATATTAGTTAGTTGATTTAAAGAATAATCTAATGGTTATGATCCCTATCCTCATTTTTGATTGTTTCATGAACAATGAATAGAAATGAACTATATCATTGTATATAATTCTACTATGGAAGATACTGTATCAAACAGTTTATGTCCTTTCAAAAAACATCCGAATTTTAAGTGACTACTCTTCTATAACTATGATTTAATTCAAAAAGGTTTTTTAACATGTTGATTGTTATGATGCGAAAGGAGCTGTTGAAATGATGCTGAATCAATATAATACACACGAATAAGAAACTTAAAACTGACCTTACAATGTATCGTATAGAAAATAGATAAACTTTAACATTAGTCTGTAACATACTTCTTATCTGGTATAGAACCTCTGAAGTCTTCATATGTCTTTAGAACCTGTATTGATGATATATTTCTATAATATTTGAAAAGAAAATGAATAAAAACACCAGTTCATTTAATCTTTGAATAAGTTGCCTTTCTTACAGGGTTTATTTATAACTGAAGGAACTTATTGGGATCTTTGAAAGATCATTTTTTGATGTCTCTGTGTGTGTGTGTGAACTATCTTGATTAGGTAGTTAAAATAGGCTTGTCTATTAACTCTGTAAGAACAAACAGTTATAGATAATATAGTGTAGTAAATGAGAACATAAATAGGGACAATTGAATGTCTTTAAACATATCGATTACAGAATCAAATAGTAAATACTTCATTTACAAAATGTTAATCAATCATCTTAAACTTCAATGTTCCTTCATTTCTACACTTGTCATTCTTTGTTCTCGTTCTCTTTTATTTGATCTTCTAAACCATCTACCTTCAGATATTTCACTTTTGATTAATGATACATACTACTACTTATTTCTGTCAACATCAGTAGTATACACTACAATATAATATAATTTGAACGAGATGCATAATAATGTATCAAGTCATTATCAGTATATAAAAACATCACAAAATGATAAGTAATAGTTTGAATAGTAATTTTGATAAATAAATAACTCATCATGTTAGGAGATAGTAAACAGATATACTCCTCATAAGGCATTCGATTTGTATGAGGGTTAGAATATTGCCATGGGTACCCAAAACGTGTGATCAATGATCAATATTTTTATAAAATGTGTCTTTTTAAATTACCCTGTGATCAATAGTGAATACGTTTGTGTGTTTGTTTGTTTACAATGTGAAAGAGAACTATGATTATAATAATTATAAGCTCTTTATAGAATATATTCAACTATTTAAAGCGAAACAAACATAATTTATATCAGAAGGGTTTTGTGGAGATTATAGTAATTTCAATGATTGAGATCATGAGTGAATTGAAGCTAGACCACCATGGAGAACCTAGAATCACTGAACGACCGTTTTGTCCTATTCTTGGACTCCTCAAGAGTGCGCATTTACGACCTTGCCTCGCAAGATTCGAACCCAAGACTTACCAGTCTCGAGCGCGTACGCTTAACCACTAGACCACGGCCATCCACTACTTCCAGATTTCTCATGGTGGTCTAGCTTCAATTAACTCATGATTCAACCATTGAAAGAAACATAATCTACGCAATATCAAGTCGTTTAGATTAATGATCGCTTTATAATAGTGAATAAAGCCATTACTACTACTGCTACTACCACTACTACTACTACTGTGGTGAACAGAACATGAGTGGGGACAATCGTATGTATTTAACACAAAATTACAGGACTTGTTAATACAATCTAATCATCAAATAGTAAATACGTAATTTGCAAAATGACCATCAATTGTCTCATAATGACTGAGACTTCATTGTTCTAGCATTTTCGTACAAATTGCATTCTGTTTCCATTCTTTACTGTTAGATCCTCTTGTCTCTTTGCTGCCAGACATTCTGTTCACGGCTAACATCGTATACTACTTATGTCAATATTAGTGGCATACACCACACTACTACTACTACTACTACTACTACTACTACTATTAATATTGATAGTAATAACTTGTTTGTCAGAATTCGAATTAAGTAAACAAACATGACATCAATCATCATTCGGTGAATAGGTCATATCAATAAAATCGATTTTATTTTTCCTTTTTTTATTTTTTTTTACCTGAAATCAAACTTTTGAACAACTCCCTTAAATACAATAAACAAACTTGATAATAATTAAATAAAACGTTTAGGTTAAATATTGAAAAGTGAATTACTTTTTATTCAATAACTTAATTATAATTATTTTTATTTTAATTAATATGTCAATTATTCTTATTATTAAATAAGGAAACATTCAATAGTAAGTAAAGATAGAAAGGAACAATAAGTTACAGGTTCATATTTCTATATGATAATAGAAGGATGAATTAAAATAAATTTGGGTTAATTGTCTTAGTATAGTCTAAT